TTTATTTCGCCAAATCTGACGGTCAGTAGCAGCCTCTTAAATATATTAGTTGGTTCGCGGTTTTAGGCTGTCCCGTCATTTCAAAACTTTCCGTCTTCTCCCAGTTCTCGATGCTATCTGCTCTCTCTCATCATTGCAATTTTTCATTTCCCTATATCCTCTCATTTTCCGACGCTTCCTCTCATCATCGTCATTTTTTGACGCTCTCTCTCAACATCGTCTTTCGTTTCCAAAGCTTTGTAGATCCAATTTTCGTTCGTCTTTCATCATTTGTTCTTCGGTTTCGGTGTTTGTTTCCGTTATCTTCTAATTTCTCGCAAGTTGGTGAGTATATTTGTTTTTATTTACTTTCCAGTGATGTTTTTGATTTTTTAGGTTATGTTTGTGGGTGTATATCTTCGCAATACTTGTAATTTTCTGTATTTGCTGATTTCATTGTTCTTCAAGTAAAACGAAAAACTATTTTTAGTTGTGTTTTTTTTTTTGTTTTGTTTGTTGAACCCTATTTTCTGCTATTTTAGTTTATGACTGTTGCATAGATAGTATAATATTCATGCAACGACGTTGTTTTTTGTGCTAAATCTATTGTGAACAATACATTGTTTGTTTTTATTGTTAATTTATGCTATTTTAGTTTATGAAAATTGCATAGATAGTATATTTTTATGCATATTTAGTTGTTTTTTGTGCTAGAACTGTTGAGAACATTTCGTTGTTTCTCGTCTCTGTATTAGAGCTTGTACGATGCATAAATATTATTGTATGTTTTTTGCATATTTAGTTTTAGACTGTTTGCAGAACATCACTCTTTGTATTGCTGCTATATTAGTGAATAAAGTATGCATATATTGTTTATATTTCCTGCTTAATTACTTATCAAATGTTGCTTGATATGTTCATATTTACCTATTGCTATATTAATTCTTGTATGACGTTAGATAATGAATATATTAGTGCTTGACGTGTCCATATCTACAATGTTGCTATATAGTTGGTTGTTGTTGCATTTTTAGTTCGTATTAGTTGCATATTTATTTGGTAGATTTTGCATATCTAGTTCATATGAGTTGCATATGTACTTGGTTATAATTTATTTCATTTTTGTGTTATTGTAAGACAAATATTCTTGAAGTATGTCTCGCGTTAAGAGTACCAAGCGTAAAAGAACTAAACAAGATGTTGATGATATTCTCTTGCTTACTGATGGCACAGAAGGTCAGTCGGATATCAATAATCCCTTCCCAAAAGTGATAACTTGGTCTTCTCCGAAGATCCTAGTGGATGCTATGAAATCTTTTAACCAACAACAGCGAATAGCTGTTGAGACGATGGGGTTTGGATGTCTGTTTCATCTGCAAATCAAGGAATTTCTGACTCAGTTGGTGCACTGGTTTTTGTCAAATTTTGATCCTGTTAGTTGCCAGCTTGATCTTGGGAAAGGAAGAAGTATTCATGTGTCATCTGTGGATGTTCTGCGTGTTCTAGGCTTCCCCAATGGTGATAAGCCTATTGAGAAGAAAAAAAATCTGAGGAGTGTGATTTGTTGAATAGATGGAGGGGTCAATTTGTTGAGAAAAAAATTACTCCTGACATTTTATGCAAGAAAATGATGGAGAGTGTTGATGGAGATGAGTGGTTCAAGTTACATTTTCTTGCTCTTGTGGATTGTCTGATTTTGGGAACAAATCAGTGTGGATATGTGAATCCTCTTTTTGTCAAGTCTATTTCTGATTTGTCATTTGTATTTGAGTTGAAGTGGTGCGACTACATCATCCAGAACCTTAAATCAAAGAGTGATCATTGGCACAAGAGTAATAAGAAGTCTCAATTTGATGGTCCTGTTCTTTTTCTTGTGGTAAGTATTCATCTCTATATTATTTATTATAAATTTGTTTAGATTGTTATTCTTTGATATTTTTATTTGTTTATTTTTTTATTTTTTTTTGTCAAAATGCAGGTTTTATATGTTGATCGTGTAGTGATTTATGAACGAGATGTTCTTCCAAGGAGGGTGCCTTCGTTTGTTGGATGGAATTGTGAGATTCTCCGTCGACGATGCTCTAAAGAAATTAAGGTTGGTGTTTTTGGACGGGAATTTGTTGATGAATCGAAGGAGATTCCGGCTTTGCAGTTCAAGAAACCTGAATTAAATGATGTTTCTGATGATCCTGTACAGGTTTGTTATTTCTTTGTTTGTTTTTTGTTGCATGTGTAGTTGATATCAGTTGCATATGTAGTTCTTACGTGTTGCATATTTAGTTCATATAAGTTGCATACTTAGTGTTATGAGTTGTATATTTAGTTGGTTGTTATTGCATATTTAGTTGTTGTGAGCCGCATATTTAGTTCATATGAGTTGCATATTCAGTTGATATGAGTTGATATATGTTGCATATTTAGTTGATGCGAGTTGCATATTTAGTTTATATTAGTTGCATATTTAGTTGATATGATTTGCATCTAAGTTGCATATTCAGTTGATGCGAGTTGAATATTTATTTTATATTAGTTGCATATTTAGTTGATGCGAGTTGCATATTTAGTTCATATTAGTTACATATTTGTTATGGTTAATGCTTAGTTCATCTGTTGTGCATGTTTATTCTTATATGTTGCATTTGTACACCTATTGGGATGCATATTTAGTTGATTTTGAATGCTTATGTGCTTATAATTGTCCATTTTTTATATATTGTCTGTTTAACAGGTGTACAGATCAAAGCTTCTTAGCAAAGTTGCCTGTTTGGCCACTGATGTTGTTGATGTGATTTTGTTGCTTCAAGATGCACCTGAAGAGGTGACAATTGATGGGAATTACATGAAGATTCATGAAGCAACCAAGAATCTGATTTCTTCCAATCCTGAGAATCCTGAATCTTCGCAAAGACCTTCTACAGTTGATTATGAAGACAGTGAGGAAATGAATGCTTTCTAGAATAATCCAGAAACTATTGCAGTAATCGAGAAGGTTGAGCGTGCCATTGAAAAGAGAGCTCAATATGGAAAGACAATGGCTGATATTCCAAGTTTTTCTTTGGGAATGGGGTTGTCCCAAGAAAGTGACAGGAGTTGGGAGGATGTTCTTAATATTTCTAAGCAATTTTCGGAAGATCCAAATGTTGATGATATTCAAGGTGAAAGAACAATTCCTAATGTTGGTGTTGAAGTGTTCGTTGAGGAATTAGCTGCTGAGGCTCATGTTTCGGGTGGAGCGTCAACTTCTGATAAAGCCCCTTTGAAAGTATCTGTCGAAGAGCCAATTTTGGATGAAGTTCCTTTCAAAGTTTCTACTGACGAACCATTTGTTGAGGTGTCTGTCGAAGAGCCAATGTCTGATGTTCCTGTTGAATCAACAGTTGTTGTGCAGCATGATAGTGTTCAAGAAGAAGTTGTTGATACTGTTCAGGAACCAGCTGTTGAGACTCATGTTTTGGGTGAAGTTCCAACTTCTGATGAAGTCCCTGTGAAAGTGTCAACTACTGGACCATTTGTTGAAGTGTCTGTTGACGTCCCAATTTTTTATGTTCCTGTTGAATCAACAGTTGTTGTGCAGCATGTGTGTGTTCAAGAAGCATCTGTTGATAATGTTCAAGAACCAGCTGTTGACATGGAGATCAAAAGCGAGAAATTGAAAGAGCAGATTGTGATAGAGAAAGAGAAAGAGAAAGAGAAGGAGTTAGAGAAGGTGTTAGAGAAGGTGAAAATGTTGTTTCTGCTTATTCTATTTGTTATTTTTATGTACTGTAATTTTATTTTAATCAATAAGTTATGTATTTAGTTGTATTTGGTTGCAGTCTGTGGTAGCCAAGGATGATCAAGGAAAAAAATTGTTGAAACGAAAAAAGAAAGTTCAGTTTGTTGAAGAAAAAATTGAAAGAAAAGAACAAAGACCTGTGAAAAGAAAGTACCAAAGGTCAAAATCGAGTGTGAGGGCCACAGAGAAGGATATACATTTGGTTGCTAATTTAGAGCCAAGTGTTGTTTTCGATTTGATTGTTGAAGATGATGAGGAGACTAAGTAACTTTTCCTACTTATCTATATTAATTTTAATTTTTCCTATCCTGCTTACAACTACTTATAATTAGTTTTTATATTTTTCTTTTAGGTTTGATGAAATTTTTAAATTTGGTGAGGCCTTGATCATGAAAGAGCAGCTTGAATCACTTAAAGTTGATGCATATCTTACTGTTGGTGTTCTTGATATATGGTCGAGAATTCTGAATGCTAAAGAAAAATTTAGGAAATCTGACCGTCCTCTGAGATATTTTTCAACTACCTATCTCAGTGTAAGTTCATTTTTTATTTTTGCAACTCTTTTTGATATACTATTTGTTGACAGATGTGTAAGTTTATCAGTTTTATATTGTTGCTATTTTAGTTATTCAAATATGCATATATAATGTATTTTTTATGCATATTTAATTGCTCGATCTTGCA